AGCCCCACCTACCCGGCCTGCTCTTTAATAGTGTGGAAGTATGATCCGACCCTTATAACGTTCCTGCCTCCCAGGTGTATGCAAATCCAATTGGCTTTCCTATTTGCCATATTAGGGCCAGAGATAGAATCAGAGAATTTGAGAATTTCATGCGCGGTCCTGGGACACCCTCAATTAAAGCAGAAATCCCCACCCCCTATGCCTCACCCCCCAGGCCATGTGGTGGGGGAGACCAAAAGAAAGCCCAGAAAAAAAAATCTCAGCAAAATGTCCATGCAAACATACCTGGCCTTCAGCCTCAGCCCAGCTTCCTAGGAACTTTATGGAATCCCAGTAATTTTATTCATTCATTCATTCATTTGATTTTTTTAAGATAGCCCATCTGGCTACCAAGGCCACTCTGGGTGGTTTACATGATTGAACAACATATCATTAACAACAATTAAAACAAAACATAATAATATCTACCAGAATTAAAAAAACATAGCGACAGAATTTAACTAATTATATCTAAATTAAAAAAGCAAGTGGCAGGATAGATAAAATAAGTGTCAAGTGTTAAGAGCTCCACTGTATTAAGATGCTGAAGGTCCAGAAAGTCTTCTCCAAAAAAAAACATGTTTTTAATAATTGCTTAAAGGTTCCCAGTGAAGGGCCAGGTGAATTTCCGGTGTGATGCTGTTCCAAAGTTGGGGGGCGACCACCAGGAAGACCCGGTTTCTAGTCCTCACCTTCTGGACCTCTCTCAGGGTCAATACTCTCAGCCATCTGGCCTGGGAGGATCATATTTTACAGGCAGATCTAATTGGGAGGAGATGTTCTACCAGGTATTGAGACCCCCAAACCATTTAGGGCTTTATAAGTTAACATCATCACCTTGAAGCTGGCACGGAAACACACAGGTAACCAGTGCAGGGCAGCCAGAGTAGGAGAATTGTGTTGATATTTTTTTTAATTCCACTAAGTAGTTTGGCTGCCATGTTCTGGACCTGCTAATGGTAGGTTGAATTTAATGAAAATAAGTTTTTCTACAAATCTAGGTTCCAGGCATGTGTGATGTGGACTAATCATGTCCCCAGCTTGAGATAACACTCTGTCACTGAGCACACAGTTTGTTTGTTTGTTTGTTTGTTAATAAGACCTAGTTAAGTGAAAGCCCATCCTCCACCGCTGTGCAGCAACCAGAAGAAGATGACATAACTGTGTTTGAATAAATATTTATTTATTTATTTATTTATTTATTTATTTATCGGACTTATATACCGCCCCATAGCGCTACAAGCACTCTCCGGGCGGTTTACAATTTTAATTATACAGGCTACACATTGCCCCCCCAGCAAGCTGGGTACTCATTTTACCGACCTCGGAAGGATGGACGGCTGAGTCAATCTTGAGCCGGCTACCTGGGATTTGAACCCCAGGTCGTGAGCACAGTTTTAGCTGCAGTACAGCGTTTTAACCATTGCACCACGAGGCCCACAGTTAGTGGGCAAGACAGCAGGCTCAGTGCCACCTTGGCCAGACCTCCCCAAACAGACTCCTTCTGAGCCCAGTAAGACAAAAGATCAGTCTCTTTTGGCTTGTAGGGCTCTGCCTCTGTCATGTTCTACCTCTGGGATACTGTCTCTGGAGGATAGGCCTCTGCTATGCTTGTCAACACAGAATACTTGTCATGTTGTTGCAGGGGTGAGGGACTTGGACTGTAGAATACAACTTGGTGGTACTGCTGCTTGGGGTACCATAAACTTTACTAGTTTCTTCCTGCTCTGAGTGACCCCTCAATGCCATCTGGACCTTCTTCAGTAGTTGCTGCTGCATGTGATGAAAAATTGGCTATCCTTCTCTCCTTCCACTTGCTGCTGTTTAATATCCATTGCCTGCTATTTAATCCCAAAAGGATTGCTAGAATGTATTCTTCCTCCTTTGACAATGAGGGAAACCTGTAATGGAGCAGGTCCTTTAGTATGCTCAACAAGACTGCCATTCAGGCCAGAAGAAACATTGTTCTCTGTGAAATTCCCCATCCACCTAGACAGTCCTCTCATTATACCCTTCATCATGCCAACAAAGCCCTGGAACAGGAAGGTCACCTGGCTAAGGATGGCTATCTTTCCACTAAGGCCTTTCAAAGCGTCAGAGAACCACTTGAACCATTATGTCCCACTCTTCTGTGCCCAGAGGAGTAGTCACATCAATGGACATCCCCAGTGCCAAATCATGGAGTGCACTTTGCTGCTCTAGCACTCTTTCAAGCAGGTAGAATGTGGAGTTCCATCAAATTGTCGCATACTGGATTAGGAGGTACCGTGGGCAATTCCAATATTTCTTGCAACGGCTCACTGCCCTAGACACTGTGGTGGAAAAAAAATGCCCTGCCACCTTTTTGGGCCACTCAGTCATGTTAGGCATACATGCATCTACCATTTCCTGCAGAGCACCGCAAACTATTAGGTTGAGAGTGTTGGCCATACACTGCATCCTTTTCATCTTCCCAGCCTGCAGTATGAAGATTGCATCAAATGCATATTGGACATCCTAGTGACCCCGTCAGCCCACTTCAAAACAGCTGTGTAGACAAGCTCTGACTCAAATGAAAAATAAGAATCTTCTCTTATTTGGCCTTTAAAACAAGCCATTGTAGTACACATGCCTGGTTTCTAAGGCTATTAATGCTTTCAGAAACCTCCCAGAAGCATCAGTTTCACCAGAATTTAGGTCTATGGGACACACCCTCAAGTTGTTTTCAAGGACAGTAGCTTTTCAGGAGCACTATTAGCATGGGAGGTACAGCACATAGACAAGTGTTTAAAATTCAAAAACATAGTTTAACCCATGGAACCATAATGAATTCAGCAAGAGGTATGAGTTGTGAGCCTGGGAGTTTGAGGACTAAAAAAATGCAGCCTGTAAACCACATAGTGCCCAACACAAAGTAGACAATTATGTGCTTAACAGCCTGAGGTTGTTTCTTAAATCCATATGGAATTGAAAATGCGTCAAATGCCACACAATTTCACCAAAGGGTTAATGGTTCCTACGCAGAAGTTAATGAGAACAATAAGTAGCTTAACAATAAACAGCTTACTTAGGCTAAACAAACAGAAGAAGTAAATCCTAGGCAATTTGACAAAATCCCAGCAGACTGGACCTTGTTTATAATGTTGCAGACATTGTCCAAAATTCTGTTGCTTAGAATAGTAAATAGCATTAGAGTAGCTCCACTGAATCAATGGGGATTTAATGAGGAAACACCTTCATAAGCTCCATTGAATCAGATGGGGCTGCTCCAACTGCAACTTTTGGCCGTTGTCTTTGCACAGATTTCCTGAAATACAAGACTTTTTTAAAAATCAAAGTCATAATGTGATATTTGTATCGAAACTAACATTTGCTTGGTTGTTGTTGTTTTTTTTGGGATCACAAACAAGGCGAGCTTTAAAGTTCCTTAGAACTCTTCTTGAGGCAAAAGTATAAAATTAGAGAAGAAGCAAACAGTGTGGAGGTTCTGGCTATACGTAAAGGTTATTGTTCATGAAAGAAGAATGCTGGCAAAGCAAGATTTAGATTGCATAGCTTGAAGGGGTCACTTCAGGTGGTGGGATGTCTGGAGTGGCTGCAGAGCTCCTACTGCCTTGTCACCTGCTGCCACCTCCCCCATGGTTCTGCTGGCAGCCTGATTGCTTTTGGAACATGGCCACTATGCAGCTGGCTGTTTGCCTAGGACCTGGATCTTCAGGGCCAAGGTGGTGGTGGGGCTTTCACAGTGTCTTCAGTGGCCGTGCTCTGAAGACAGTCAAGCAGCCACTAGCAATTTAAGTCTACAGTACTGTCATCTTTCTTGCTGTCACCAGTGTTCTCTTCTTCCTCCCCAACTCTCTCCCTGCTAAGTATTCCCATACAGCATGAGGGGGGGAAGTGAACACGTATATCGGGATGGGACAATGGCTGCACTTCTTGTGTTTCAAGTGATGGGAAAGCTTGCATTAGCACCGGGTTCAGTGCAGAACAAAGTATCAAGGTGTCATAGCTTTTCCCTTCCCTGTAGACAAAGGTCGGTCAGAGCCTCCCATACATCTCCAAACAGCCTTGGCCAGGCAAAGATGCCTCTCCTGTTCAGCTTAGAGCAGAAAACAGGAGAGCAATGCAGTAGGACTTGTGTCAACTGAGCAGGGATTTCAATTTCAGTGGGAACTTGTTTTGTGTGTGTATAGTGGCTCCCTGTGGCTCAGTGACAATAGGACCCAGGCCTTATTATGATTGTACTGTCACTCTGATAAGGAGGCCAAATGGAATTTTTGAGGAACGAATTTCTCAGGAAATCTACCACTGTGTCAACAGATAGGCAATACATCAAATGGGAGGCATGTTTGTTCTAACTAATGAAATATTTGTGTTGGGCTTGAGGGACTTGGATTCCAGTACCACCCTTGCCACTGGGTAGTCTCAGCATCCTTACACAGGATACCCAGTTTATACCAGTTCAAATTATTTTCCTGCCTATCTCTGTATTTCTTTTTCTCCTCACTGGCAAGAGATCTCCATGCTTTAAGCCGGAAATCTTTCCCAGCCTTTGCTACTTTGTCCTTTTCCCTAAAGATGCCAGGGCTTGGTATTGGGGACCTTTGTGTGCAAAACATGCTCTGCCCCCCCCAAGTTTACATTTCTTTTCTCTTGAGCAAACCATTGCCTGCAGGTTCATTTTTCCATCAATAAAGTGGGGGTGTTACATGAATAAACAGGATGTGGTTCAAGACTTATTCCACAGGAAAAAAAATGCTGTATAGGTGGTTCCACATTGGCTAGTTTTAAGATCTACCAGCCTTTCTTAGAGATTTCTCTGGATAAGTAGAAGAGAAAAAATGGATGTATTACAATTGCATGTCAAGGAATATCAAACCTGATTTGTGACCTTCACAAAAGGTGCAATGGGTACAGGCCAAGTGCTGAGGGTATTGTTTACATTTAGGCTACACATTGACAAGGAGAGGACAGAAATAAGTGATTTATTTAAATTGGAGGGTGAAAAAGGATTTGTTATGCTGGTTTCCTGTTCTGCTCCTTTCTCTAAAAGTTCTGAAACTAGATAACTGGTTATTATAATAACCTCAAGGTTATCTTTTAAAACAACTATTAACTAAAACAAAAATACAACATGCCGGTGATGGAAAACACAGGAAACAGATCTTAAAAGCAAACTGTCCTCCTCTTTCTGTTTGATATTGTTATCTGCTTTGGACAGTACATTATTTTGCATAGCTACCTGGGAATCAAGGCAAAAAGTTATTGTTATTATTATTCCAACTTCTATACTGCCCAATTAGCACAAATACTCATATATATATATTTGTGCTAATGTATATGTTTCTTTTTGGCATTATATACTTAAACTCCAGGAAAAAAATCAAGGCCAGTCAGTGACATGAAGCAAATACAAGATCACATTGTAGAGCAGAATAGCTATTATCTTGCTTTGAATGCATAAATCAAGATTATAGATATTGATGAATATGCATGTGAAATTAATTCTTGAAGTTGGCTAGCTAAAAGGAACTATTGTTACACATTCATCAAGACCTGGTTTCCCCTATGTACTGTAAACTGTGTGTCTGTTGTATTTTGGCTAGTTGTGTATCATGGTAGAAAGACACTTGAGACATTTAAGGATATGAAGAAGAGATTTGCTAGGATTCTGTGAGTTCAGGCTTGCAAGTGGCTTTTTGCAATTCCTTCCCTGGTGGCCCCACTGCATGGGGAAGGAGGAGAGAGGGTGGAAAAAAGAACAGAGAAAGATACGACAGAAAGAGAGACAATAATGGCCCCACCCACCTTGGTTCCGGTCTCATCCATGGTGGGCTTGGCCCTGTCCACTACCAGCAGGTGGCTTCTAGTATCTTACCCCGCAGTGACCCTTGGTGGGAAATAGGTTCCTGATTTTGCAATAGAGTGTACTAGTGCGTTTGCTGTTATTACATTTTCTCTTCTCTTTTACATCTGACTGTGATGGTTCAGATACTGGATGAAGTTGAAAGGAGGCGGGGAATATCTGCTGCCCTGGTTTATCCATTTATGCGAAGTCTGATGGAATCTCCTTTTCCTGCACCTGGAAAGACAATCAGAGTCAAGACTTTCCTGCCTGGAGCTGGAAATGAGGTAAAAAGAAAGTTCAACCCAAAAAGTAAAATTCTACTAAGCACAGCCAATTGCTTGAAGCAATAGAAATGGGGTGAAAAGAAAGGAGATCATAGAGCACTATCACAGGCTAATACTTTTGTGACAATTTTTTTAAAAAGTAATAATTTCTATTTGACAACTGTTTCATGAGGCAGTTTACCCTAGGATATGGTCAGGAACAGGCAAAAAGGAAACTGCAGTGGAATTCTAACTCATATTTGCTTAACAACTTTTATCATATACTTCAAGGCTTCTTGCTTTTATCTGTAAAAGTAATGACGTTGACAGACTTTGTTGGAAGGTCAGCGAACCAGCAGTCAGGCTCAAGGTATTTTCCATAACAAGTAATTCCCTCATTGTTCAATCAGTAAAGCACAAGGCAAGATAGGTAGAATTAAAAGTTATCACCACCATTCTGTGATAGCTTGGTACTCTGAAATAAATATTTCACACTTTTGCCAATATTTGGTAATTAAAATGCTAGAGGGACTCCAAACCACATGTCTATTATAGATTGTGTGGTTTTACTTTCGTCATAGAAACTAAGACTGGCTAGGCAAGAGATAATACCTGGATTAGTAGAATGCATGAGCTCATACTTTTTATATCATCATGTACGTATTATGGGATAATTGTCTGTTTTACCTGTATACTCAGTTTTATGGCCAGTTCCTATGCCAGTTTCATGCCAGGGGCACTTAAGTCAAAGTCTATATTTACACGCAAACTTATTGCTTACATGGATTTATTGATATGCATGGTGCAGGAAGTAACAAACAGTGACATACAGGTACTGCAAAAGTTGATTGCAGGCTTAGATCAGGCTTTGCTCCTCTTCCTATCCCTGCTTGGACATAGGAAAAGGAGGGAAGGGGGGAGCCAAGCAATCCCCCATCCCCACTGTTTTTGCAAAGAAGGGGGGGAGAAATTGCTTGGGTCCCCCTTCCCTCCTCTTGGGGGAGGGAGGAATTGCTTGGGTCCCCCTTCCCTCCTCTTCCTATGCCCGGGCTGGATAAAAAGACAAGACGGCCTGATGTGGCTGGCAGGCTGTAATGTGAAGACCCCCGATCTAGAGAATATTTTGTTGCTTTCGAAGATGCATGATAATCAACCTAAGAGCAGGTTTAAATCCTTATGAAAGACAGACCAGCCAGCTCATGACATGTTTGTGGAATGCATTTAGGTGATAGAGCTTCGGCGACCGATGGATTCTCGGCTGGAGCATGTGGACTTTGAGTGTCTTTTCAAGTGTCTGAGTATACGACAGATCATCAGAATCTTTGCTTCCCTCCTGTTGGAACGAAGAGTGATTTTCATAGCAGATAAACTCAGGTAAATGATGCACAAGCTTCATGAATAAAAGGTCAGTTAATATGAGGCCACAATGTCTGGTGATCCAAGACAGTTTAGATACTCAAGAAGATTAAAAGAATGATGTTCAGCCACTCATTAAAGCATATTCAAAATGCAGAATGCTTCAGAATTAGGTCTCCCTAACCCATTATTTTTAGGGACATGGTGTTGCTGCGGGCTAAACCGCAGAAGCCTGTGATGCAGGGTCAGAAGACCAGCAGTCGTAAGATCGAATCCACGCAACGAAGTGAGCTCCTGTCGCATGTTCCACCTCCCGCCAACCTAGCGGTTCGAAAGCATGCAAATGCGAGTAGATAAATAGGGACCACCTTGGTGGGAAGGTAACAGCGTTCAGTGTCTAAGTCACACTGGCCATGTGACCATGGAAGATTGTCTTCGGACAAAACGCTGGCTCTATGGCTTGGAAACAGGGATGAGCACCGCCCCCTAGAGTCGAACACGACTGGACAAAAAATTGTCAAGGGGAACCTTTACCTAACCCATTATTCAAAAAATGGATATACCTTTGTGTTAAGCTTTTTGTTAAGTGCATTTCCTTAATTGTCTGGATTAATAAACTTGCAGCTACCTTATACAATGTGTACATCATGCTACATTCTGCATCCTATGGTAGAGGGAGGCAACACATAGTCCTTCCGTTGCTGTTGGTCTGCAGTTCCTACATCCCTCACCATTAGTGATGATTGCTTGGGATGATGGGCATTCCAGTCCAGCAACATCTCGAGAGCCATGAGTTGTCCACTGTTCCTATAAGGTGTGAAACTAAGTTCTTTACATTGGGGTACCTTCTATATTGCTTGCATGATGTTGTGGGGATACTTATCGGTATGAGTAAAGTGGATACATCCTTTCAGTGTAAGAAAGATAGCATTTGTCTTTGCAAAAGAGTGGATATATGCTCCTTGCTCCAGTACTGTAGCAGCACTGAGTGGCGGGAGAATAAACATTTCCCAAGTATTAAACACTTCGAACACAGAGAAAGAAAGAGAGAGGGAGTTTCAGAACACAAAATGGAATAGGCACGTGGCTGGCAAGAGTTGATGCTTTGCCTAATTGGACTGTAGCTCCTAGCATTCTGGGGGTTATAGTCCAAAAGTATAACTTATCCCATCTCTTACACAGCTACATGTCGCTCTGTTCACAACTGCAGGAGTCACAATATGTTGAGAAGGGAGGAAATGACATTATCTAAGTATCTATGGAGTGGTGTATAAGCTGAAATTATACATATACACGTACGTATGTTGTGTGTGTGAGTGCCTGCAGGCATGCGTAAAAATAGTATCATGGCCTGCATGCTGGGAAAATGCATTTTTCCCACAAGTACGAGTTTTCTGTGAGTTTATTTTTGTGTGAACTCTTCTTTGCTCCAAGAGAGAAGTAAACACAAATAACCTGCAAGAGGTTTGGTTAGGAAGGATGTGAGATCTGGTGGTTTTGTGGTAACTATTATGGCAGCCCTTTCAGGGGCTTGCACTGTAGCTGCAGCTTAATGATAAAACACATGTTTTGCATGCAGAAAGTTGTAGGCTCAGAAGCATCTTGAGAAGATTGCTTTTCTGGACTGCAACTACAGAACCGTTCCCCCTGAGGAGCACAGTCCCTAGCTGGGAGGGATTCTGGCAACGGTACTCCCACAAAATAACTTTTCTATGTTCTGGGATGCGATGTTTATCTGGCCTATCCAAGTGAGGTTGGGAAGAACTTCTGTCTGAAATCCCAGAGAAGGGAAATAAACATTAATCCTTCTGGTTAGTGTATGTATGTACCATTTAGCTAAATGCACCCTTGGTCTCATTTGTTACAAAGCAGTTGCCTGGGTAGTTAGCAGCTGAGAGGTTTATCTGCACAAACACAGTTAGATACTCAGGCGGACAGATGACATCACAAGTTCACAACTGGGGAATCACTAGAATTGGACTCTGCTCTCTTCCTTTGTTGCCACTTAGCTACAGTGTGGGTGGGAAAGCTGCGCACAGTTCTTTTGGGATGTGACTTCACTGCTATTCTTTGGTGTTCCTCGCTGATAAACTTTACAATAAATGGAATGATAACAAGAGCCAAGAATTGCTTTTTGAATAGTTCCCTATTGCCTGACAACTTTAGTATTGTTGGTGTATTCCTGTTCACGTTCATCGCTGTTCACTCAAACCTATGCAAGTTATCTTTAACCACATATGAAGTCTGCTGGAGAATTTTTCCTTTATGGCCAGAAACCAGAAGTTCAGAGACCTTACTTATTGTATTACAAACCCAACAGCTCCCACATAAGCATCTTGACATGTTTGATTTTGTTAATCAAAATCCTTCAAGCAAAATGCCCAACAAGATAAATCCTTACACATGACTCATGGGTTTTCAACACAAGGTTTATGTTGGCTTGAGCTCATGGGAAAAAAATTACTTGGTTGAAGGAGGAAGGAGTTAAGAGTTATTCTTTACATCATAACCATAGTTAAAACAGCTTTGGGTAGTGGGGGGCATAGTTGATAATTGGCTGATGTGACGGGGAAAGTATGCTCTTCCTTCTCACTTTGTGTCCCACCCTCTAGCATTATAATTTCAACATTGATTGTGTTCTGCGCTTTGTCACAATGCTCTCTCCCAGCAATCAAGTCAGCATGCAAATTAAAGCAAGACTGATGCTTAAAGCCACTTATTTCTATATGGCCCACCTTGGGTCCTTTTTAGGAGAAAGGCAGGCTAAAATATTTAAATAAATAAAATTAATTAATAGATGAGGAGAATTAATTTCTTTTTTAAAAAATAACCTCACTGCATGGCTTGTTGGTTTGACTGCAGTAAACCTCTGACAATGCATTCATATCCACCTATACTCAGAAGTAAGCCCCATAGAGTGCAGTGCAACTTTCTCACAGGTAATGGTTTTAAGGATTGCTGTCTGTGAATGTATCATTTCCAGTACCATACTGCCAGAATCTTTAGGACTGTGGGTCAATGGCTGTGTCCATACAGATGATGGCAGTGACTACAGTATCATCCCTGTCTGGACAGAAAATTGCTTTTTTTTCATATTCCCTCTTCTTTGTAAGAAAAGAGATTTCCTTGGAAGCATACATTGAGACTGGTTGGTTAAAGACTTACTATGTTAAATGCAGCCCACTCACTCATCATACATGTAATTTTAGTGGGGTTACAGTAAATGTCTTGCTGTTTCTCTTGATGACCACTGACACCATGACTGTTTAAGCATTAGACTGCCCACATGGCTGGTGAAAAAAGAACATACATGTCCTTCTCAGTGTCTGTCCAGATATGGTGGATATTAATAGATTTTACAGAAGCAAAACTCAATGGTGGAATCCTAATCAACAGCACCAAGCAAGGGTGGGTGAAGTGTTGGACTAGAATTGGGGAGGTCAAGTCCACATTGACCTATGACATTCATCAGGTGGCCTTGGCCAAGCCACTCTATGAGCTTACCTTAGTTCACAGAGTTGTAAGGAAAACATGAGATGGAAGAAAATCATATATGCCATCTTGAGTTCACTGAAGGAAAGGCAGCATATAAATGTAGCTAATAGAACTGTGGCTTTATAGCAGCCAAGTGTCCTGCTTTACTGAGAACAGCCCTCTGTTTGAAGGTTTCCTCAATATGAAAGGGTGGCCAATACAAAGTCCAAATTAATGTTAAAGAACTACATGGTGGTGGAGGAAGAGCAGCCATTAGCACCTGGAAAACAGACTGAGCAGGCATAGAGGTCACTGTGCTGCCTTGTCCATGACAGAGATATATATCCAATGGCTGTGTCCGTACAGATGATGGCAGTGACTACAGTATCTGGAAAACAGACTGAGGAGGCATAGAGGTCACTCTGCTGCCTTGTCCATGACAGAGATATATATTTTATTTATGTATAAATTACAATAATTATTTCTAATGTTGTGTCTACATATTCATTAGAATATGGAGTTTTTATGCATATCTGTATGCTTGTGAGGCGTGTGTGGTTTTAGCAGTTTGTCAATAGCCACATTGGGCTTTCATTTTTTTTTCATTTCGTCACATTAAAAATGGTTGCTCTTAAAAATCTTTAGTATTGTGACATGCCACCACTCTTGTTTAGCTTTCAGTCACCTTTCTATTGTGCTTCTTTTCTGTGTTTGAAACATTATCTTTTAATACTTCTTAGGATCTGAATTTCCTGTAAATGCTGCCATGCCTTCTTCTCTTGAGATTTTACTACTAATCTGGGCATTCACTTCTTCAGCCTTGAATATGACTATTGTCTATGAATGCATGTGCCAACATATTCTGTAACTTGGGGACTTTTCTCACGGTCACAGCTGTTCACTCAGCATTTTTTTAACTGTAAGTTTTCTTTTCATGGCTAGCAACAGTGTCTCATGCTCTTATTTTGATATTTTCAAGGAGAAGAAATGTTGGAACAAAATATGCATGGCATGACTTTTCTCCACTTTCTATAAGGATAACAATGGATTCCATGCTTTTTTGTCTGAGTGTCCTATTGAACCAAAATGAGATTGCATCAACAATACCTCTTTCTGTCTTCAAATCATCAACATCTTTGAATTTATGTTGTCTTCAGAGCATATCACTATGGTTTAAGTGGCTGGTGGGTTATAGAGAATCTGAGCTGGCAATCTCTTTGGACTGTCATCCTAAACAAACCCCTGCTCATAGTTGTGCCCTCAGTATCTTCATGTGAAAGATCCATGTGTGAAGGTTGATAGTATCCCTGCTAAGCCTATTTGGAAACCACTTATTTTCAACTGCAGTTCAAAATGTCCTTGTGGCAAAGAGTCAGTGGGAGCCATTCCAATCAAACAGAAACCACAATTTTATATCCCATTGCTCCATCCCTTTAAGAAAGCTTTTGATGGTTTGCAGGATAGCTGTTGATTTATGGTGACCTGCTGAGGCGACCAATTCAGCTTTCAGCATAGTGACAGACTGAAAAACATGATCAGAGCATGAAACAAAGTTGTGATGCACACAGGCATTTTGGACTTGTAACCACATCTTAGTCTCTAAATATGAAGTGGGACATATCTTGAGGTATAGATGTTTATTCCACTGCTCCCATGTGAAATGTCTGTAAATCTTTATCTGCTGCATGTCATCAGCAACATAATCAAAACAACTTTAACTGTAAATTAGTTCAGGCTTATGGAGGATCAAATATCTTTGCTTACACCACCATGTCCACCCCAAGTGTTTAAAAAAAAAAATCACTATTTTGAAATAGAACTCCTGGAACTTGTCTGGAAGCTTGTCTGGAGAAGACTGTCATGGACATAGAATTGCATGTGACAACATGTGACTACCCTAGTCATCTTCCAGCAATTCAGCACAGCAGACAGTGTGCAAAGCTAGTGAGAGAGGGCACAAAACAAAAATCTCCCCAAAGCGTGGGAACTGCACATGAGAGGGGATATTGGTGCTGACTTACATCACAGTCCTTCCTTCAAGAGAAGGACAGTTACAAAAGGGCATTCTATGGAAAGCAAAGATTGTGTGCTGAACGCTAAAGGAATGTTTGTGTTGCTGCTTTTAGATTAACACAGTTCTCTAATTTTAGCTCCAGTTGATCAGTTACACTTGAGATTTCCACAGTTATTAAAATGAGTTAAAGAATTATACTTGGAAGTCTGAAACATGCCCACATTTTTCTTTTTCTGAATCGGATCACTGTTTGTTTCTCTTAAAAAGCAAAAATCGAATGCATTCAATTCAGCAGGATAAAAGTGGAAGCCAACACATTGTATGCTGGCTAGCACTACTTGAAAGGAGAGGGTTGATTAGAAGGTGGACTTAGTTCTTATGTAGGAGCAAGATCAAGAAAGTCAATGACCTTGGGGGTGTTCCATCTACAGATGGATTAGCACTCATGTGTCCATACGTACAGAAATATACACAAACACACACACTTAAATGGGAATATTTTTGTGAGTACTGTATGGGATATGTCTACCTGTTTTAAGTGAATAGTCCACAGTGTCTAAAAGTATCTGGGCAAGTAACAACCAAAAGCACGCTGAATATCATGGAAGGGGGAAAGAATGAAAATTTCAGAGGAGTCATCAAGAATGTGTCTTCATGTGACTTTTAAAAAATTAAGGCAGATGAAAATTCCAAAATAGGAGCACCCTCAAATTATGATTCAAGGGTATTTTACTCCTGTTTAGAATATCTTTACAACTAAGTCAGAAGTTCTCCTGACCAAGATGCATGTGTGTCTGGCTCACATTTTCCATTTCCTAGCATACATCCAGTCTGTGCCTGTGCAGAGTTAAAACTCATGCACCAGCTGTGCTGGTTTCTTAAGAGGTCTGATCTAGCCATGATGACACATGCCCTAGTTACATCTTGGCTAGATTATTGTAACACACTCTATGTGGGGCTGCCTTTGGAAAGTGTTCAGAAACTCCAGAGGGTCCAAAATGCTATAGTCAGATTGCTAACTGGGACTGGTTGCAGGGAACATATAATTCCCCTATTTCAGCATTTCCACTGGCTGCTGATCTGTTTCTGGGCACAATTCAAAGTGCTGGTTTTAACCTATAAAGCCCTAAAACACCTTGGGTCCAAGCTATCTAAAAGACCACATCTCTTTATGTGAATTAAGATCATCTGGGGAAGCCTTTCTCTCAGTCCTACACCCCCACAGGTGCACTTGGTGGGGACACAGGACCTTTCAGTCCTACACCCTCACAGGTGCACTTGGTGGGGACACAGGAGAGGGTCTTCTCTGTTGCTGTTCCCGGACTCTGGAACTCTCTCCCATGAGAACCTAGGCTGGCTCCATCTTTACTGTCCTTTTGCAAGCAGGCAAAGACCTTTCTCTTCAGGCAGGCTTTTTCTTAATGGCTGGTGGTCTGAGAAGGCTTTATAAAATGGATTGCTGTACTCTGTTGTTTTTAAATGTATTTTTAGTATTGATTTTTAATATAATACTTGTTTAATCCTTTTAAAATATTTGTATACTTATTGTTTTTTGCTTTTCAATATTATCTTTTTAATTATATAAGCCAACTTGGGTCCTTTTTTGAAGGAGAAAGATGGAGTAATGAATGAATGAATGAATGAATGAATGAATGAATGAATGAATGAATGAATGTGGCATCCACCCAGGTCATGACTATTAATGTGCTATCTCCATGGACCAACAAGAGTGCTGGAGAGGCAGAGTTACTGGATATAAGGGTCTCTGGAGGGGGAGGAGAGTTTTAGATAGGAGATGAGAGGCAGATTGGAGATTAGCAAGTTGGGCTTTGGGAGTTTAGAGTTGAGAGAGAGTTTGGGAAGGCGACAGAGAATAGAAAGGAAGGTTGTTTTTGTTTAGAATTAACAACACTGACTGAACTTTCATTTCTTGTAACAATAAACAATTTCTACTTGGTTTTACAATGACACGTTGACTGGACCTCTGTCTTTAATATTGAATAACGTTGATGTAATCAACTGGTGGCTGCTGAATGACAGATAGCTTGTGCCTTTGTTTGGTGAAACAACCAAGGGGCAGGCGGGAATGTGACAATAATCAATCAATCAATCCCGGCATAACTATGTTAGGCCAAAGAAGGGAACCATAGTTCTGTGTCTATATGTAATATGACAGAGGATTTGGGGGTTTTGTTTTGTTTTGTTGCTGCAGGTTGTTGTTGCAGTTCTTCAGATTAATTGAAAGCATCATGCCTGAAATTGCTAGACTTTGTGCTTAGCCACTGCACAGGATGTTGTAACATTGTTTGCAGTCATGAGGTTTCCTGGTGGTCCACAAAAGCCCTGTGATCAGTAGGGAAACTGGAAGTACAGAGGTGTTTTAGGCATGCCACTTTGTCAATGCAGATCTTTCAGTCTAGCCCACAGATCTTGGTTTTTCACTAATCTCATCTCTAGTTGGGGATTTCCAGTGTGATGTAGTGGATAGACTAATGGACTATGACCCTGGAGAACAGGTTTCAAATCCCTGCTTACCCATGGACACTCCTTAAATATCTCACTTACCTTGAAAGCTGTATTAGGGTCACTATAAGTCAATTCTGATTTCAGATAACACACACACATACATCTCTAGTTGTAGCTGCTAATGAAACAGTCTTACACTTTCTTATGTGTGATTTCAGAAAGTTATTGCTGAGAGTTGGGAAGACTCCAGACATACATTTGATGCCATCTAGGGTTTCTGAGAGGTTTTGCACACAGTACATTGACTGTTAATAAGCTGCAGTTTTCATGTGGTTAAAAAGAAAAACTCTCTAAGCAAATGGGTACTTGGAACCAAAACAAAAAAGCAGGCTTCAGCAAGTTTGAATTGTGACAGGTTTTTCAGTTACTCTGACCTGGGTTAAATGCCAAAAGGTTTGTCATCTGATGTTTTGGAAGGGAAGAAAAAATGCAAAGCATCAAAAGTTACAGCAGCAACTCTTACAGTAAAAGCCCTTTGCTTAATGTTGTTCTTTGAAATCAGCTTTGTGAAGAAGCCATTATAATTTGGCCTTCCAGATGAAAACTATGATTTTTTTTTAAAGACTCTACTGTAGGAGTAAGGAAGATACACAAACTTTTTTGAGTGCATGAAAGCTTTTAGACTGACTTTCTTTGGAAAGTCCTCTGTAAATGAAGGACAACATAACTATCCTAACTACATTATGCAGATAAAGAGGCTTGAGAATGAATGCCAACAAACTGTGCACTTGGACAAGGTCAAAGACAGGGTGTTCTTCTTCCTGTGCTTATGCAGGGTGCAAAAATGTAAGCACAGATGTGTCACAACAGATCTGCTTGAAAGGGGTTATGAAGAAAGCCACCACACTTTCAGAGATAAAGCAGTGTTTAGGTTAGTAGGAGCCTTGATGATAGAGTTACCCTGAAGAACTGCTGCATAGCTCAGTGGTTTAGGCTGCAGAGCCAGAGGTTGGGAGTTTGATTCCCCTCTGTGCCTCCTTGACCGGGGCTGAACTCAGTGATCCATAGGGTTCCTTCCAGCTCTGCAATGCTAAGATGATGATGATAAGTTCCTTCAACAGGGTTCATGTGTAGTTAGTAGAAATTCAACAGGTACAATCTAGTGGTTCATTGTGTGTTCAGGATGTGGAAAGCTGATTGTCAGGGACCTGCTACCACTGGTGGTGCAAAAGAGAAACTTCACCCTCGTCATGCTTGTTCTGCTCTTATCAGCAACTCTATTTGACAGGCCAGTGGCTGAATGATGTTGCACGTCATTATGGAAGATGACACACTTTTCTACATTTTTGTAAGAATGGCAGGGCATTAATATATCAAAACGTGTGAGCTGTTCCCCTTGGGAGCATGCACACCCTGCTATGGAAGAGATGTGTTAGTCACTACATTGTGCTGGAAGTAAAGGCTTTTTTATAGGTACGTAGATTTCAGTGTATGGGGAATGTGCAGGTTGAAAGAATGATTAAAAACCTAGCCAAAGGCCTTTGGAGTGTAGCATTTTTTGCCAGCAATGGTTTACCAGATGCCTGTAAGAAACCATAAGCAGGACATGACAGTAACAGCAGCCTCCTGTCCATTTTCCTGCAAATGGGATTCAGAGGCATACAGCCTATGATGCTGGGAGTAACATATGACCATCATGACTAGCTGCCACTGTTCACAGGCATCCTCCATAAAACTGCCTTACCTCTTTTCAGAACCATTTGAGTTGTCATTACATTTTGTATCAGTAAACACCCATGTGCTGAATGAAAAGTCAATTCTTTTTCTCTCTCCCAGACCTCTCCTCTCTGAGTATAATTATGAAACAAGCACACTTTATTTGCAGAGCATGTACTAAGGTTATTTCTTTCCTTCCCAGCACTCTTTCTAGCTGCTCCCATGCTGTGGTGGCTTTGCTGTACCCCTTCTCCTGGCAACACACCTTCATTCCTGTCCTCCCTTCTTCCATGATCGACATTGTCTGCTGCCCTACTCCATTTCTGGTTGGGTTGCTGTCCAGCTCACTTCCCAAACTAAAGGAGCTGCCGGTAGAAGAGGTAAGATTGGAACCACTAATGTGTCCTAGAAGTAATTTTCAGTATTGAATCTGACCATACAGTCAACAATTCTTGGTGCATAAATCCTTAATACTGTACTAACAAATGGTGAAGAATGCTGGCATTGTCTTACTGTTGAAAACATTCTCCCCATGAGAGAATTTGGTTGAAAAGAAGGTAAGTGAGGTTGAATAGGTGAAGATCTCAAGTGGAGCTCCTTGACATTCTGTATACTGATTGGGTTTAAATGGGAATGAGATTGTTGCTTTCTTCCTCTGCTTGTAATGCCCTCAGACTTGGCTTCAGTAGAGTATAGATAATTTTGAAATAAGTAATGTAGTCTGGTATAGACCACAAATATTATATAACTACATTATAAATAAATAGAAATAACCTATAAAATGCATGGGGAAGGGACAATTAGGCAGATAACAATGAATTTTAGTACCATGATATTAAGGGATGAAATAGCACAGCTTTCATGTATATAGCCAATCCATTGTAGAAAGAGACATTGCTACTGTATTATCTAAGGAGCAGTGCTATCAAAATGTTGTTGCCAGGCTCTTTTCAGTTCCAGGATGAACTATAAAGTTGATTTATTGCCCTTTTATGCATTTTCGCCTAACATGAAGACAGTTCAGATATGAAAACTGGTGTCTATGGGTGTCAGAGCAATAACCATGAGATCAGGTGATGAGGATTATGGTACATGAGGGGTTGCCACGGATCTGGAATGCCAGGGTAAAGCACAGTTACACACCTGACAGTATTGTTTCAAGGGGGGGGGAAGAGGTGCATGCTCTTTCCATTCCACAGTTATTCATGACATATGAAAAATAATTTGCTCACAAATTATTATATGCAATTGCTATTGACAAGACTTAGTTACATATGCAAGGGTAGTTTCATTCATTAACAAAGAAGTGAGTCTCTATATCTTTCAAGGCTCTGGTAATATCTGTTATGGTGTAAACCTTGAGGGGTAGCTAAACAACATCCTTGAGAGTGCAGCTTTAAACGTTCACTTTTATTAGAACACTTTGATCTATTCAGAACCTGTGGAAGCAAATAAGCAGGACTCTCCATATGTACTGGATTGGGTTCCTTCTTTGCAAATTACTGAAACATAAACAAGCTCTTTTGGAGCCAGACAGTTAGATTCCTTGTTAGGCAAAGTTGTGCTTAAAGCTTCCTTCCCCCCCCTCAAAAAAAAATAGTCATAAAAGGTGTTTTCTGTGTTATTTCTCTTTAGGCTTTGATGGTGAATCTTGGATCTGATCGTTTCATCAGACAGGTATTGATTTCAGTCTTTAGTTTTTACTTTGTCATGTGCAAAACAGCTTAGCTGCTTGTTATGAAAAGAAACACAAAAGTGCAAGATTGAGTTGTGAGGTCATCGTGTCAGCTATAGATGAGAAGAGAGCTCTTGGAGATGGGATTCAACTGTATTAATAATCAGTATTTCATGCAGATGTGCAGATATTGGTGAGATGTTGGGCACGTTCGTGCTGGAGGGTGTTCTAGTGGTCTGTTTGCAAGCTGTGGTGCCAACACATGAGAACAGTCCTTTGCCTCTAACTTACTCCATGTGTATCATTCTGCTGGTTAACTGTGATGAAAGTAGTCTCAGCATTGCCAGTCCAGTGCATGAGCATTGTGATATGTGCCTCTGGAAATCATATAAGGGAGAATGACATCTTGTTTTTATTTCCTTCTTTCAGATGGATGATGAAGATACACTTTTGCCCCGGAAACTGCAAGCAGCTTTAGAGCAGGCTCTAGAGAGGAAGAATGATTTAATAAACCAGGATTCAGACAGTGAATCAGATGAGGGTAAGAGAAGCTGGGAATAAATTCTGTTTATAGGAGAAAGGGACAGGGAACAACATGTCCTTGGAAGCTAAAAAAGCAAATAAAAACGTTATATCTACATTGATCAACTTACTGCAGCAGTATATTTTTCAACATTAAAAATGCATTTCACAACAGCAAATGGTTCAGGATGACACATACTGTTTTTCAGCACATCGTCACACAGGGCTAATGGTTTGATTAATTGTGAATTCTAGGCCAGCTTTTCTGGAGAGTCACTTCCATAATGATATTTTTGGCCCATGTTATTTTGTTTGCCTGTAGAAATTTAATTACAACCTTGGATGCTGTTCTAATCCCAAAGGGGAATTTTTTTAAAAAATTGCATGTGGTTCAGAGATGTTAGCTGTGCTGATCTGTATTGTTGTAGCTTCCTAAATCAAAAAAGCTAATATATCTGTCTGTACTGTACTTATACAGCTTCACATGAGTAGAAAGCATGGGAAGGTATTCTGGCACCCTGGCAAATTACTATAGTAGGTGCTGCTGAATTTCAGAGGTGGCAGCAGCAGTCACACAACCTTGTTGGTGCTCCAGGCTGCAAACCATTCTTGCAAGGTAGAAAACATAGAACCCACAAAAATGTTCTAAAACGTCCGAGTGCACATGACACTGGTTTAGTACCAACAACCCCTTAAGCTGTCTGAGTGAAAACACAGCTGTAAAATTTTATTATTTTTATTGAACCATCATCATCATCTTAGAACTGCAGGGCAGGAAGGGACCCTATAGATTGAGCCAGCCTCTGTCAAGGAGGCATAATGAGGAATTGAACACCCAACCTCTGTCTCCGCAGCTAGATACCTAAACTACTGAGCTGTCCAGCTGTTCATCTGGATATTTTAGCAAAACATACAAATTCAAAAGCAAGCTTAATGACTCTAACAGAATATTGATGATGTGAAGCAATTCCATGATGATGGTGAACACAAGCAATTCAGAGATTTAGGCAACAAGAAATCATTCCTACTGAAAACAGTACAGTGGACCCTTGACTTACAGACGGCTTGACTTACAGACTTTTTGAGTTACAGACTTCTCTGGCCGCAAAATTTAGGTTTGACTTGCAGACTTAGAAATCATTCCTACTGAAAACAGTAGACTCTATCTGATCCTAAGCTATACTAACAAGAAGCATGGTTCCAGGGCACAAGCAGAGTTCAGCATAATAGCAGGATTGATTACATGTTGAAGTAAGAAGAAAGAAGCTGAAAGTTGCTGCTGAGTTGCCTAGCTGATCCGTTGTTCCAACTGACCTTATATCCCATGATCCTCTCATGAGCTGGCCCAAGTCTTTCCCCCAATCTGATGAAACCAATTAACTGGCTACTTCTGCAACAGTAACTCATGATCTCACCAGGTGTACCTAATCAGCATGCCATGGGAACCCAAGCACTTTCAATTTCTCAAAAGACACTTTCAAGGTCAAAGATAACACTTGCACAGTGATTTGCAAAGTCTCTCTAATTATATGGACATTCTCTCTTAGTTAGATCACTTCAATTAATCTGAAGATTTTGAGAAAAGTCGAGGGAATGGTTAACCTCTTTTTTTGCTGGTTCCTTCACAACAGAATGTATTAACCCAAAAAGTCTTAAATTATGGAACACTCAAGAAAGAAAGAGGACAGAGAGTGTGGGCATAGGCTTGAAAATATGTCTCAGCTCAATACAATGAATTAAGTATAAGACAGCAACTTATGTTATGATGAAAGTAAGTAGTGTTAGATAGGACTCCAAGGGCAAATACGGAGTCATTTTCAGGCTCTGGTGGTAGATAACTAAGGGTAAAACTAGACATTAATGGGAATGCCTGTTCTCTCCAGTTGACTTGCTTTCTATCCCAAAACAGATATATTCCTCCATAATCGGAGTTACACACTAAGCACAGTTTTGCCTTGCAGTGGCCAGTCATATAACCAGATAAGCTAAATGCAGGATATATAGATGAAGAAAATCACATCCTATGGCAAACACCACTTGGGGAAAGCTTTTGTGAAATAATGTAATTGCATGTATTATATATTTTGACCCCAATTTTGTTATACATTGTTCTATGTTATTTCTCCTCTTTTTTTGCAGAGTGTAATACCTTGAATGGGTTAGTATCGGAAGTTTTCATCCGCTTCTTTGTGGAGACCATTGGACACTATTCCCTTTTTTTAACTCAGAATGAAAAGGCTGAGCGAGTCTTCCAGAGGGAGGCTTTTCGCAAATCTGTAGCTTCAAAGAGCATCCGCCGTTTTCTTGAGGTCTTCATGGAATCTCAGATGTTTGCTGGGTTTATCCAAGATAGAGAGCTGAGGAAATGTAGGGCAAAAGGTAAGGTGTTTTCTCTCTATTTCAGAAAAGCCTTTTCCTTAATTAACAACTCTGAATAAAACTTTAATCACAGAGAAGAAGAAAACACTTGGTCCTTCCATTGTCTTCAGTTTTGATGTCTTTCAACCACCTGCCCTTCCTGCCCTATATGGAGAGATTAGTACTGTTCCACTGCAAGATTTAGGACTCACACAAAGTAGATTATGTAAATACCAATTATTTTTATTTAGTGTTGTTTATGCCCTTAGCCTGCCTGCAGTGAGAACTTTACCTTTTGTGGGGGCGGGGGCAGGAATGCCTGGACCATGCTGTAAACCATTGTATCTGATTTGAAAACATATTTAGGAAGCTCCTGAAAAGGCTGGTATTGCGTACTATTTTGTACTTCCCACTGTTTGATAGCAGTGTTTAATGTAAAATGGAGGGAGCCTCCTGGTCCCGAGATGCAGGCCCTCTCAAAATTAAAAACATTTGCTGAAAAGGGTGTGGAGGGGAAAAATATTGTCGTGCTTTGAGGGTGCTCTGAAACACCAGGATCCAATTGAAGCCCATTTTCTTAATTTTTTTAAATTAAATTTTATAGCCACTAAAGCACTGGTTCTTAACCTTGGGTTACTCAGTTTTGGACTGCAACTCCCAGAAGCCTTCACCACCAACTGTGCTGGCTGGGGTTTCTGGGAGTTGCAGTTCATAAACATCCGAGTAACAAAGGTTAAGAACCACTGCACTAAAGGATGCAAGGTAGGGTTTTTTATGACAAATAAAAAGCAGTTTTCATAAGAAAAATTGACTGTGGAGAGTGCGTTTCTGGGAGCAGACGCTACCGTCCAAGGTCCATAGATATAGGCATGTAGCCCCCATACTTTGGAGGTTGTGCCTTCCAATTTAAAATTTACAGCTGTTTTATTCTGGAGAAACCAAAGAACTGAGCCAGTCAAAGAGAAACAGTTGGCAGACAGCTTTCAATATGGAAAGTTCCACTAGGCTTAGCAACTTTTAAATAACTGTGCAAAACCAGAAACTTTACTAACTAACCAGATACAGATACAGGATGTGTATTGATCAGTTTTTCAGGCTTGTCAGAGTGCAGTTCTGCTTACTTTTTAGGAACTTGCATAGTTGCAGTGCTTTGTCTTTATACCCTGACAAATGTAAAGAAGAAATGAACAACTTGGAAATTGCCCCTGGTGGCATATTCTTTGTTATATAGCAGTACTCCATCTGCTGGAGTTCTGAGGTGAATAGCTTTACTCTCTTATCCATGAAGAAATACAATTAAAAGCTGTCAGATGATGATGGAGGCAGGCACAGGAATATAGTTGTTATTCCCTCTTCTGAATAAAGGTAATCTGCTTCAGATCTCAGAAAAGGGGGAAAATAAGGGAGATTGTTCAGTACATTGACAAGATTACTTGGCGGTATCCAATGTACTCTCTAATTTTCAGCCCTGCTGGGCGGAAATCCACCTCTCTCGCACACAACTCCATCCCCACCCACCCCCTTGTGCTGGATTCCATCACAACTGGAACTTAATGCAATCACTGCATGGAAGAGGAGGACAGCTGTGTGGAGGGAAGCGGAGTTGTGAGCATGCGTGTGCCCAGCTTAGCAGGAACCCTGGCATTATCTCATAGTGAACCAATCAATAGCTCTTCAGTTCAGGAAAAAGGTATTAATGACTTCTGGAGTGAAGTGATAATTTTTCATTGATATACAATGTTTTCTGTGAACAATGATTATTAATTCAACTTGCATGGTTTTCATTTACTGGATACAGGTCTGCAGCTCACAGGACTTCTGTTTCTATTTTAGATGTTATTCTGAATTCATTTAGAAGCATTTGCTAAGAAAATACCAGATTCTGCCTAATTGTGCATAATTATGTTGAGTAAATAAGGTGTCAGAGAAGGGAGGTAGGCTGGAATAACTAAAATCAAAGAATTTTATAAGGGTCTACAGCATTATTAGGAGGGTTCTTTGGCCACAAGAACGCAAAAGCAGGATGTAACCCTCCTTTCTTTTGGAAAAAGACTGATAATTTCTCTTTCATCTACTTCCCATAGGTCTGTTTGAACAGAGAGTTGAACAGTATTTGGAAGAGCTTCCAGACACAGAACAAAGTGGAGTAAATAAGTTTCTGCGAGGTCTTGGTAAGAAAATGACCTTTGACATATTTGAGTCTGAGTCTACTCTAGTGTGTCTATTGAGAAACTTTTTAGGGGTGGGGGAATCAAGCTATGAAACACAAACCTGCTTCTGGGAAGCACCTTCCTGGAGCATTTGATAGATAAAGAAAAGGAGGAGGCCTTTCTTGACAAGCAAGAGAACTCATCTTTCCAAGAAGTTGCTGTTTACTAGTGTTGGTGGCATGGTATGTTTCATCATTAAATGCCTTCAACAACTGAAAATGCTTCAGAGAGGCATCTGTTGGTCAAATGAAGATTTGTAAATGGTGTGTCTACATAACTGAACTTCCATGAAGTCTCTTAACTCATAGGAACTCTGCTTTGGCTCCATGGTATGAGGGGACTACCCTTCCCTATAGTTCTCATTTCATATTACATGATCAAACAATGATGCTATTATTTTTCCATCCATACCCTGCTTTGATTCGAAACATGGAAAGTCCTTGCTTTTTCATTTTAAGTGGCAGGTCACTCAAATTCTCCCTCCCTCGCCTCACGTGGAGTCCATTTGTTCTTCTTGCTAGCTGCTGCTGCCCATCCATTTCTCTCTGTCATCCTGCAGGCACTGCCTCCAGGCCAAAACTGCCAGAGGCTCCAGCAAGGCAGAGCAACTGGAATGACTGTTATGCCAAGTTCCTTGCTTTTCCTCTAGATTATTTCCTTTAAGTCAATTGGGAGAACTAGGCTTCAGTTCATTAAAGGGATTTACTTGACAGTTGCCCCCTTGCTTGCTTTGGCATTTCTTCAATTGTTTCTGTTTGCTTCAGAGCCAGGCAGTCACTCCTCTTGTTGCTGTAACAGTGGGAGAGACAGAGCTACTACAGGGAACAATATTGGAAGTGTTGTTATTTGACATGGAGGGTTTTCCTTGCTCCCCCTCTTGCATTGTACAGTGCAAGTAGAACAACAACCTTGAAGTGGTGAGAATCAGGCAAGGGGAGTTGGCAGAGAAACTACCCCTTAGGAACGCAAAGGGAGGAAATTGTTTGCAAGAGGTGCCTGGAGCACCTTGGAATGACAACTCCAAAGTCTGCTGTCCCATGTTGCCTTTCTTGACCCACAGGTAAGGTCATGAGGTACCACAAGTTCAGGATACCTGAACTTTGTTGAAACAGTAGTTGAAGGCTCTTTTGAGCCCTTGGTTTCCCAGTGAGTAATGCAAGGTGTGAGTAAGATCAGCCCCTTCTTCACTGCTCAGCTGTTCCCACTCTGCCCTCTCAGCTGAACAGTGGTGATCTCTTTGTATTTGTTATATTCATACATAATCTATTTAGGAACAGACTTGTGCCAATGTAGAACTAGTGGGAGTAATTGCTCCACAGAAGTCATAATCTGTATATACACTCTGCCCGTATATCTCTCATTCGCAGTTTTGTCTGCTAACTACAGTTTGAAAATAATTGTATTATCAGTGTATTCTCAAAGGTGACTGGGACCCAATGGTTGTAGGTTTCTCGGCCTGTTTGGCTATGTTCTCAAGATTTTTCTTCTTATCGTTTCACCAGTCTCTGTGGCTGGCATCTTCAGAGGACAGGAGTTAGAACTCTGACTGTGTTCTGGTGTAGTGTAGTTGAGTATTTGTATTTTTGTCCTTTTTAGGAGATTGGGTGATTATGGTGATCAGGGTGTTTTTTGTTATGGTGTATTGTGATGGGGGGGGAGATGATCTGTCACTGTGATTGATGGGAGTCATTAGCTAGTCTTTTCTGTGCAGCAATCACCGATCCTTGTGGCTGGGTAGACCTTTTGCAGGCTGTATTTTTCAGTGCTGAGAGCCCAGTTTTGCTGAGTTTTATCAGTTTGTGGTTGAAAATTTGAAAGAGTAACACTGTGTTTCTGGAAATAGACTTACTTAGGTCCTTGGAGGAGAATATCTGCACTAATGTAAAGGGAGAGGTGTGGCCCTCAAGATGTTATTAGAATTGCAACTCCCATCATCCTTCACTGACACATATACTGTCTAGAGGTGATGGGAACTGCAGTTACAACAGCATTTCTAGGCAACATATTCATCATTGCTGCTGCACAGCTTTTATCTGAATAACCAGCTGCATAATATGGGCCTATTGTATATTGCTGCTTTTTCACAGGAATCATATTGATGGTTTTAGATGCATATTCCTAACTGAAGTTGTCTCATTTTTTAATCATTGCAGGAAATAAAATGAAGTTCCTTCACAAGAAAAATTAATTCCACTCTACTGAATTAGAGATCCAAAGACTATTTATGACACTGGGCACAGAACACCACCTGCAGTTCTTCTACTGCTACTGCTGGAAGGGCCAAAATAAGCTGCTCACAAGCTTAAGTGACTGCAAATGCTGTTTGACTGTGTGCCAGCAAAAAAAGATATAATTATGTATTTGGATAGTTGTCTGTAAATAATGTGCTGTAAGCATCCCTAACATTTCTATCTTTTTTTTGTCATGAGCACAGACAACTGTGGTAATATTTGTATATTCCTGAAAATAACAGGTGCTTCTTTCTTTAGCATGAACTGAGTTCTGCTTGGTGCAAAACTAAATGGCTAATTATGTGCAGCTGACTGTCTCAGCCGTGCCACTGCCTTCAACGGATCTTTGCACAAGCCCCGTGGTGTACTGTGGAAGTGAATGAACTCCAGTCTGGGAATGGGTGGGCGGGGAGATTCAATGAAAGAGGGCAGGGGTTTTTCATATGAGCGTTTCCAATTTTTTTAAAAGATATTCTCGTCATTCATTTTTCAGAGAAACAAATAACTAGCTACTCTATAATAAGGTACATGATTCACAATCACAGATTATCCACCTTGTTTTTAAATGATGGTCAGTAACTTGTAATGCATTCTGCACTATGATTGCAAAAACAGAGAAATCTCTGGCCTTTCGACACACAGTCTTGCAAGTGATTAGGTACAATTCATCTTTTCCTAATGTATGTATGATTTCTAATAAATTGTGTAAATACTTTGCATTATATGTCCCTATTCATTGGATTTTCTTCAAGTTTTGGCATTTGTCTGATGTGACCCCCGTGAGCCGGGTCGTGAGGTGATGCTGGGAGTGCCGTCTCGCCCAAAAGCCTCCGTGGGCACGCAGACAGCCCCCAAGCCGTTCCCACCCCGGATGTTACACCAGTCCGTTGATACAGTGGACTTGGAGAAGGGGTTGAAGGGGTTAAATATAGCTACCCAGACTCCTCGGGTTTGGGCGGGAAAGGGGGCTAGAGATCCTGAGGAGGGAGCAGCAGGGGAAGTTAGTTACCGTCAGACAGGGGAAGAGAGTGGATGGGAGTGGGTGTCCATCCAAGACCCCTGGTCGGGTAAATGGGAACAGGGCTGCCTGACCAAACAGGAAGCAGAGGAGAGGAGGAGGAATGAGGCTAGGGTCCACCCCTCTTATTGGGGAGAGAGAGAGACCCGAGAGTGGCGCAGGAAATTAGTAGAGGAGAAGAAGAGAGTAGAAAGGGAGAAAGAGGAGAAGACCAGATGGCATCTGGAGGAACTGAAGAGACTGGGGTACTATCCGGACCTTGGGAACACCCCGGGGCAGAGACCTCCATACCCTGGGGATATGCAGGGTTCGAAGAGACGACCCCACTATTAAACACGGAGCGGGAGGACTTCGATCCCGAAGAACCCTCACAGGTTCAGGCCGGTCCATGGGCTACGGAGTCAAGCAACCCGTTTGATGAAGATTGGGTGCCCCTGTATGAACCGTTACTTCAGCAGGAGAAGTTTGTTCCCAAGTTGATTGACATTTCCATCCCTTTACCCCAGTTAAATAAAGAAGACAAATGGTTCAGTTCACATGCGTCTACGGCTTTATTTGGGACGGGGGAGGTGAAGAATAGCAGACCCTCACATCTGACTATAACCCTTCTTGGGTATGTTTATCTACTTTTATTATCATTTCATTTATCAACTACAATTGTATCTAACCTTTAATTCATTGAGATCCAGACAACATATGTGGCACTTTGCCACTTTTTGTCACAACAACCCTGTGAGGTTGACGAGGATGAGAGTAATTAACTAAGCAATTAGTTTTACTTTGGAATCATACCAATATATTCTGCTGAAATCCTATGAATATTTACTTATATTCCATGATACTTAATTTTTAGTAAATTTATAGGTCAGCACCCTGTTTCACCACTATGCTTCCACAACAGGAATGACATCAACATCAATGGCAGATTGCAGCACAAGAAAGAATTCCTTTTTTTCAGAGTGCTTGTGATACACACACAACAAGACAAAGCTGTACACAACCCTGAAAAAAAATGAAGTCTTTGATTGGCAGCAGTCTGACATTGCTGATGATGTCATCCCCGTTGTGGAGATGGAGCTGTACAATAGGATACTGGCCATAGGATTGGACTGGCAGAACAAACAACTAAAGCAACTGTCCTAAATACACTTCTCTGCAGGAAACTCTCATTGAGTTACTCAGTAGTAGGCATATGTGTACATTATTGTTTGAAATCTTATTACAAGCTTATATTTGTATCTTACAAAAATGACTATAGCTAATGGCCAGTATGTGTCTGTGGACCTCTGCCCTGTGCAGTAGAAATGATGCATTGACAGATTTTTGGAAATTAAATTAAATCCAGTTATGTCCAACTCTAGGAGCTTGTGCTCATCCCTGATTGTAAGCTGAAGACCTGTTGTTTGCCCATAGGCACTTTTTGTGGTCACACGGAAAGCATGACTAGACATGGAACATGGTACCTCGCCACTAAGGTGGTAGCTAGTCATCTACAGTATTCATATTTTTATGCTGTCAAATTGCTAGGTTGGCAGGAGTGGGGACAAGCAATGGGAGAATGCCTTTTCTGATCTGGGCTGTCTACGACACAAATGAGGCAAAATTTGTATTAGCCCAAAATTGAAAAAGGAAGTCTTAATTAGCAATCTGTCATTGCTGGTGACATCACGTCCATTGGAACTCTTGTTATATGGGGCTAGATTCTAACAAAAAAGTAAAACATTTGTTTTGTGGTCTCAACATCATTGTGTAGGTAATGTGGTAAACTCCAGATTCAAGGTGGCTCTGAGATGTAATATGCACTGTGTATGGATTATATATCAGTGTATTGCAAGATGTAATGATAGGAACCAGCTTAGGTGGGTTTAGAAAAGGATGAGATAATTTCAGTCCAGTTTATATGAAATCTCATCTCTCACTGGCAGTACCATATACAGTACCTCCCAAGTATAAACTCAGCTACAAAAAGCAGCAAGAATTCCTTTAAAAAAGAACAACAGTGCCATCAGGATACAGGTATTTGTTTCAAATGGCCACACCATTCTACAAGATGATTATTATGTTCCACACTGAACTTGCAGGGGCAACTATTAAGTGTGCCCCAAAATGTAATAGGTTGTTGGTTGAGTACTCCATTGGTTTGGGGGTGGGAGTGGAAAGGAGGATGGCAGAGCTACAAGTCTGAGGTATGGTGAGTTACATGAGATCTGAGAACGGTAAAAGCCTAGTACAGTATAGGGAAAGAGTTATTATCAGATTAGCCTAGATGTCACCTCTGGAATGTTCCTAGAACAATCTTGAAGATGTAAGGCATGTTCCCAGTTCTGGCAACATTTGTAGATGGTTATATTTCCACAAGCAAAACATCTGCCTTTTCTGAGCCATACTTTCCATCCAGCATTATTTGCATTATCATAACAGGAAGTATGTAATAAAGTTGTGAAGTAGGCAGGCACAACACTTTTACTCATCCTTTTAGTGTTTGGAATGATAGCCAGCTACGGCACTCCAGCAAGCGAAGAATTAGACTAAACTACTTAAGAACGGATGCACTGGAAAAAAATTTAACTGTAAAAGTATTTCACTCAAAACACATTTTAGAGGCACTATGCATAACGGTGCCTTGAACCTGGCGGGGAAAAAAAATCGACCAGCTGACTCCCCCCCCCCCCCNCCGGAAATGTCTTTGCTTTTGCATACCGAATACTACAGAGCTCTACCTCTTTCTGGGGAAAAAACCAGGGAAAACTACGCCAGACTCCCCAACGCAGAATGAACAATCCGGCGTGCACTCCAGCAACCATTCCCGCCTTAAGGTTTGAACTTGGGCCGCATCCACGCTTCCTTCTTTCGTTGCCATCAAGCCGTTAAGAGTTACTTTAAAGGGACAAGCAGAGCCAGAGTATCGCCAGAGTTCAGAAGCAGTGAAGGTCTTGGGGATACCCGGTGTTGCAAGTAATAGGGCGAGGGTGAGGATTAGGGATTCAGGAGGAGCCCCTGGGTTTGAAGCCTCGCTTAGCCATGGAAACTCCCTGGGGGGTGTGGAACTGGTAAAGCCACTCTTTAAACATCTCACCGTGAAAGCAAGTCGGATCCGACTTAACGGCAGAACAATGTCAAGTTTATAGTCCACTTTGTGGTATCTAACGACCCAGCTAGTAATCCTCCCCAGGGCGGTGAATGATTGAACCAGGTGGGAACGGAGTAACCGGGCACAGTTAAAAGGTCTTGGTTAAAGCACGCTGCGGTTTGAAGGAAACGGATCCACAGAGTGGGCAACGAAGATTTGCTTTTGAAAATTGTACCGAGCAGAAATTCAGAGGGTCCCCATAGCTGCAATACTCGGGAGGTGCTGACGGTAAGGAGAGGACCCGCTTCCTGCCTGTGGCGACCTCGACGTCGCTTTATATTCCAGTCAGCTTTCGCCACGGCCGTGCGTGCACTCCCTGGGACATGTTTCGTTTTGACAGGTTTTGAGTTTGGAAACGCATTTCCGACCGTCTTCTTTTCGTTTAATGCCTTTTCGTTAGAATATTCAGGTCGGAGCCATCCAGAGTTTCAGTGTCGTTTATTATTAGAGTAAAAGCAAATTGAACCCATGTGCTAAAACGCCTCCTGTTACCCCTAATTTACCAACTGGATTTATTTATTTATTTATTTATTTATTTATTCGATTTTTACCCCACCCTTCTAGACAACGTCTACTCGGGGCGGCTTACATAATTTAAAACATATTAAAACAGCATACAGTATAAATAATAAATATATAGTACAAAATGGCAAAAGAAAAAACAAGAGAAAAAACGAAAAAGAAAAAATTACTTAGTTGACTGGGGGGAAGGCCGGTTTGAATAACCAGGTTTTTAGTTGAGTGACAGGTCTTCATACCCTTGATCGTTCCTCAAAGTTTGATTCCAGCGATCAGTGTGTGTGGGGGGGGGCAATCGGCCCGACCGCTGAGCCCGGAAGTTAAAAACCCGGTTGTCTCAAAGCCATTCTTCCTCAAAGGTTTACACTCATCATCCCTGGGCTTTCGGCTCCTCTTGTCCCACTAAAGGCGGGATCGAATAGAATCCGGAAGTAAAGAGTTTCAAAGGAACCGTCTTCGCGTTCCCTTTAAACTTTTCCCCCCTTCTTCCTCCCGAGGATTGAGCTATCGCGAGAGAAGCAGTCCTCCCGGGCCTTCCCGCCCTCTCGCGAGAGGTGCGGCCTCTCTTCCTTTTGCTGCGGCCCGGCAAGATGGTAGGTGGTGGGGCGGCGTGGCCGCGCGCTTTCTTCGGTTTCTTTGGAAACGGGCTGGTTTCTCGGGGAGTCGAGGCCCCTCTCTGGCGGGCGGGGGAGGAGGAGGAGGGGTTTCTCGGGGGCCCCGCGAGCTCGCCTGTCCGGGTGGGGGTTGGTTAGGCGGCCAACGGCGATGTCGCCCTCGAGGGTGGGGGGAGGCGCCGGGGACCGCGCTCTTGGCCCTCTTTCTCTCTCTCTCTCTATGCCCGCCTTTTTTCCCTCTCGCGGCGGATTGAGCCGGCCCGTGACCCCGGAGAGCCCCGTGCCGAGGGCGGCGGCCGGCGCCTCTTCCGGCTGGAAAGGCTTCTCCCGCAAACGTCTGCATGACGGGACTCGGGGACGGAGTTCTTTTAAAAGAGAAATAAATAACGTGTGCTCAAAGTGTTAGCTCGAGAAGTGCCACAGAGCTGCCAGCCCAGCGAAGCCAAAATGTTTATTTGATTTTCTGATACAGAGTAGTTCCTTACAAATTTTCTCTTAAGCCTTCCAGGTTGAGGAAGACCAGGAAACTCAGGGGTCATGTGAGCCACGGCCATGGCCGTATTGGTAAGTGCCACACATATAAAAAATTACAGGTGTGTTAATATAGAGGTTTTATCATGTGGAAAAGGAAGTGGAAGTTATGGTGGAACTGAGCGTATGCAATAGGAATTGTCAGAGTTAATATTTAGTACTTTAACAATACTAAAATTCATATTTTCACTAGAAAATAGAACTATACAATCTGGCATATAAAATTTACACATCAAACTAATGTGTATTTGTCAGAAGACACAGTTTTTTTAAAAAATTTACTGCTAGGTGATTATGTACAATATTGCAATCTTAACTGTGAGAAAAATGTCCTGCAGTCACAGGGTATTTATTTTGACCATCTCCAAATCAGAGGTCAGAAGAGAAACAATACTTTGCAAGAAAGATAAGGTTGTGTACACCTTTCTCATTTGGATCACAAAGTCCCTGAGACTAGGAAAGGCTTTGGGAAAGAAGTATAGATTGAACACTCCTTAAGGCATTGGTTTAGTTGGGAATACTGTATAAGGACATATGCCCCTTTTTGGAGAATTAGAAGTTTCTGGTGTGCATAAATTCATCTCCTATTTGAATGTCATATAGGTTTACAGTATAACTGAGAAGCATTTGCTGAAATCTTTTCCACTAGAATCCACAATCTCTTATTGGCTGCAGTGCCAGTGACATTGGGACTTTGGAAGTCTGGAGGGCTGAGGTTCTTCACTTCTGATCTAGCGCTGTATATTATCTCAAGCAAAATCCTTACCTTGAATATCTTGAGTAAAGCCCTAAAATAAAAGTATTGCCTTCATTATAAAAACATTGCATTTTACGGATGCCCCTGCTGCTGCACCAGTATTCATGAATTTGAGAACCTTTGGCCTTCCAAATTTTGCCACCAGTAAAATGTTCTAGTTTCTTTTTTAAGCCCTCACATTCATTCATATCAAGTACAGAAGATTAGTTCATTTATTAGTTTGAACTGATTTGTGATTTTTGGAATCTTCTATCTGTATACTTAAGAAAGAAGAAAATCCTGTTGTATCTTGAAACTATTTTTAAGTTGAGAATGGTACTGTTGAATGTAGCTCTTGATGTTGACAACCATATGTATCAGGAGGACTAGGGGTAAATATGAGGAAATAACCTCTTGATTCAGAGTTTTGTTTCTAAACTAAATTGCAGTGTTATTCTTTTATTACTGTCTGTCACAGGTAAACACAGGAAACATCCTGGAGGCCGTGGTAATGCTGGGGGTATGCACCACCACAGGATTAATTTTGACAAATAGTAAGTGGATTCTCCTTATGTAAACCTATTAAAGACCTAATATGCATTATAGGATTATTTAGTAAGAACTGAAGTGCCATATTCGATTTATTTTTGCACCATGTAGATTGGGGCAGGCAAAGTGCAACTTTCCATATGTTGCACTCAGTATTCCTTCTAAACTGCATGAGAGTGTGTTGCCAAGTTTGCGTCCGTTTGTGGCTGGAACTCTGCGCACAGGGGATGGAGCCCTCTAGTCTCTAGAGGGAAAATTGGTTGCACTACAACTCCCAGCACTCCTTAATGTTGGTTGTGCTAGTGAAGACTGGTGGGAGTTAACTGTCCAGCAGCTCTACTGTTTTGTTAAACTTACTTTGAACTGGGGTAGATTAATAATTGTTCAAATGAAAGGACAGAATCAGTATGTACTCTCAGATAGACCTAGGTTTAGCACAGCAGAGTGAGTTTGGAGTTTTAATAATACACCGAGACTAGAGTCACATCTCGATACTGTCAGTTATTGTGGTGTGCTATAGTACTCGGAGAGTAACAACTGACCTTTATTCACTGGCTGTCCTTCCCATAGTGCAGTCAGTCACCAGGTTAGTAACAGTATCACAGATGGAGAGATGTATGTCATCGAAAGGATGGATAATTCTTCATATGTCAGTAATAATGCTTCCCAGGGTGTGTTGTGATCTGATTGTTAAATGATGGAATAAAGATAGAGTGGTGTTTAAAACACACAAGGAGAACTGAATATTGCATTAGTAATATCACGAAAAAAACTGTAAAAAGTATATGTTTTCATATATGTATTATATATAAATCATTAACTCAATCATTTAACTCTTAACAATTTTGAAAAGCGAATTGGAATTAAACGGTAGTGGTTTTTTTGCTGGTGAATTAACATATTTCATGAAATTGCCTGTAACATGACTTTAACAAAGGACACATTACATTATGTGTAATGTAGAATCTCTTCCTATTAAATATTGAACTGATGTACTTATTTAAAATTTTTACCTTTCTCTTTAAAAGGACCCCAGGCAGCTTATATTATTATAAGACAATATAAAAGCTAACAACAGTGAGTCTACAAATACTAAATAGGGTCAAACAAACACCATACAAGAAACATTATAACACATTCAAAGCAGTAAGGTAGAACAATCCATTTAAAAAAACCACCCAGGCAGTCAGTCACTCAGGGGAAGTTTGCCTCAGGATGGAGAGAGAGAGAGAGATGTGTGTGTCTGTGTCTATGTGTGTGTGTGTATGTATGTATGTATGTATGTATGTATGTATGTATGTATGTATGTATGTTTGCTGTGGTACATACATTGACCACTGAAATACAGGGCTAACTGCCTGAATCCATGTGGAAAATGCATTTATGGTTGTTTTTTTTGGACTTTTTGGCCATGTTCTGGAGGTTTTTCTTCCTAATGTTTCGCCAGTCTCTGGTCGGTATCTTCAGAGGACAGGAGTTAGAACTCTTTCTGTGTTCTCTGTACATTTAAGCTTTAGGTCAGTGGTTCCCAACTTTAGGTAACCCAGCTGCTCTTGGCCTGCAGTTATCAGAAGCTTTCACGACTAGCTGTACTGGCCAAGATTTCTGGGAGCTGCAGTACAAGAACACCTGGGTTACTCAAGGTTGAGAACTACAATGGTGCCCCGCTTGATGACGATCCCGTTAGACAATGAAATCACTTTACGATGACTATTTTGCAATTGCTATAGTGATCGCAAAATGATGTTTCTATGGTTTTTTTTCGCTTAACGTTGATTCGGTCCCTGCTTCGGGAACCGATTTTTCGCTTCACAATGATCTTTACAGCTGATCGTTGGGTTTACAAAATGGCCTCCCGCTGTTTTCTGGACCTATTTCCGGAAGACAGCGATCGAAAATGGCTTCCCCTATGGAGGATCTTCACAAAACGAGCAGGTATTTTCCCCATTGGAACACATTAACCTGTTTTTAATGCATTCCAATGGGTTTTTTTTACTTTCGCTTGATGCCGATTTCACTTAACAGCGATTTTAACGGAACGGGTTATCGTCGTCAAGCGGGGCACCACTGTACTGCTTTAGATGATGATCAGGAATATAAGTGACAACATTGGGAGCAAGGCAACCCTTCTCCCCCCCAGCTTTTTTGTATCTCCTAAAATAGCTCTGGTAAATGGGAAGACTTTGAGCTGGTCATTAGGTGGCATAGAGAGGATAGAAGAATGTTCTCTTAGTGATACATGGGATGTAGACTTTGTGAAACATACTATTCTTTTTTTTCTTTTTTTGCATACCATTGTGAAGGCTAATGCCACTGGTTAGAAATTAAAGTGACTGGCCAGAAGTTGCGTTGAGTTGTTTATTTATTTTAGTCTCATTTATAAGCTGCCTCTTTTTCTATGAAAGGACTTAAGGCAGCTCACCAAGTTAAAAGAAGAAAAATTAAATACACAACACCACATAAAAACAAAGTATCATAATTAAAATATTTCAAATAATTAAAAGCATAGCTTTAAAAATAAATACAAGCTAAAAAGCTTAAAAAGAGCATCCAGGGACTCAATTTAAAGGTTACATATTAAAATTAAAGGTTAAACGCCTGCCGGAAAAGGGGAATCTTCTGCTGTCGCCAGAAAAGGGAGGGAGCCAAACTAGCCTTGAAGGGAGAACATTCCACAATCAAACCTGGTACAGAGAAGGCCCCCTGTTGTGTATCTGCAGTGGGAATGGGACCGAAAGAAGGGCCTCTTAAGGATCTTGAGAGCTGAGAAAGCTCATATGGAGAGATAAGGCCCTACAGATATCCTGCTCCCAAGCTGTACAGGGCTTTACAGGTCAGGACCAGCACTTTGAATTGGGCCTGGAGACAGACTGGTAGCCAGTGCAGTTACTATAGCAGAGGTGTTATATCCTTGCTAAAATTGGCCGCAGTCAGCAGTCTGGCTGCTACATTTTGAGCCAGCTGAAGTTTCCAGATTTGTTTAGACACACAGAAACAACTTAGCGGTAAAATTATTCTTGTTACATTCTATAGATACATATTTATTTCACTCTGAATAAAACTGATTTTAGTGTGACTTTCCTTTCTTCTCAGCCATCCTGGTTACTTTGGAAAAGTTGGTATGAGACATTACCACTTGAAAAAAAATCAGCACTTCTGCCCTACAGTAAATCTGGATAAACTCTGGACGCTTGTCAGTGAGCAGACGAGATTAAACTATGCCAAAAATGAGGCAGGATTAGCTCCAGTGATTGATGTTGTCCGCTCGGTAAGTGTTATTGTTAATCATTGCTTCCTGAAGTGTTTTATTTTGTCTCTTCAGAGCTTATGCAGTTGTCTGGTATCTCAAGTCTCACAGTAATTTAAGAGATGAAAATGTAAAGTGAGCATATTTCAAGCTCTCAATTAGAGATGGGGGTATTTGTATACAAATACGAAAACCCCCGCACAGCTGGACTTGACAAGGTTCCGGCTCCCTGGGGTCGGACCATCCACCACTGGTTCTGCTCTCCCTTACAATTGCACTGGAGCTCCCAGTTAGCTGTCCACTCATCAGCCTGGCAGTCTTGCCTCCTCATGCCAGGAGTGGATAGTTGATCAGGAGCGGGGGTATTTGTATTCATATATGAATATGCCCATCTCTACTCCCAGTCATTTGGGTCATTTTATTAAATGGTATTTAGATACAGTATAATGTTCTGATTGGCTTTTACAACCATTTAAATATAAATTGCAGCAACTCCCTATTTCCTTTCTTTAGCTGTTGTTCAAGTAAGCGACTTGCATGCATGGTGTTCCTAGCATGTTTGTGAATTTATTCTGTTAGAGGAAGAAAGAAGAGTCATATGGCACTTGGAGACCTAATTTTTATTTGGTATAAGCTTTCATGGATGCTGCATTATATATCCTAATAAAGCTGCAAGTTTATTGATGTAGAAACTGGACAAATTTGCATCCTTAGGTCAGAGTGAGGGATTGATCCCCTAGGAAAAAAAATAATTTGAAGTGACATAGTTAAGGGTGCAGGAGGACACATTCAAATTCTTATCAGCTGCTTAAAGCAGCCATTCTCCTTGCCTTTCAAAGGTTTTCTCAGTTTAGATGTGAGGCAGCCAGTTTGTTCCTCAATTTCAATGGCATCCTGACACTTCCCTCTATGGGAATCTGCAAAAGAAACTTAGCAGGTGGACCTGCATGCTTGAAATGCGGCCAGAAATGGTACTGGTGCAAAGCTGAAGCCAGTGGGTTGATATTGTAGATTAGCTGAAATTCAGTGAAATTCCCCCCCCCCCAATTTAA